GGTCCTCTAGGGTAGCGCAGCACAACCCCGTCTTCAAAGAAAAAAAAAAAAATTCTTTGCTGTGTTTTTGCGTCGCCCGGTCCCGCCGGGCGGAACCCCCCGGGCCCAACCGGTCGGGGCCCGCCCGCCCGGGCCGCGGCCCAACCTAGATTGATACAAGAATACGATAGCAAAAACAAAACAAGAGTAGATATCCGGTGAACAAAGTCATAGCTTCGTCCTCAGTTTGATATGTGGTTAAAAAAAATAATAATAAAGTTAATAAAGTAGGTAATATGGTAGAAAAAAAAAATATAGTTTTTCGAGAGTCGGTAGATCTCAATCAAAGAGTCAAATAAGAACGAATACCACACATAAGAGTAAAAACTTGACTTCCTACTACTATTGTCAAACAATTAACTGTTGAATATTGAAAACAATATGCATATATATATATATATACATATATATATACATCCTAAAAAAAAAAAAAAAAATTAAGATTTTTACATGTTGAAGGTTCAAAAAAAGGAAAAGGTAGGCAACAGTCGCTTGCTAGAAATATGTATTATAGATTACGTATCTTGTGAATTCTCTCTCTCTCTCTGTGTATATATATATTATATATACATGAATTTATTTATCTATCTATCTTCCTTGCGTATGTGTGGATGTGTCCCATCATAAATATAATATTTGAATTTCGCATAACTCTCAGACGGAAATTGCGTATCACGAAACATATGAAAACAAAATCGTTTTTATGTCAGTATAGCAGTGAAGCAGGGATGTATAAAGCAATGTTGCAAAATACTTGTACATACCATGTTTGCGAGTTTGTTGATTGGTGTGTTTTTAATCATAACGGTGTGTGGGTTGCACAGATAGACGGACCATGGATAATACGGGCAAGCAGCGAACAACTGCTGTAAGATTGGTAATGAGGTTTTCAAAAGCAGGAGTACACTACAAAAGTGACAATGAGCGAGAGGCGTTATGTGAAAGAATACCAGGGTACTTCGATGCAGTTGTAGATGTTTACACCACCATTCGAGGCAACAGCATGCAGATGAGATAAGCTTCGACCTTCCTTGCTCAAATGGTGCAGTCTTCTGACATAACTGCAGTTGAAGTTCCTGAATCAAACACGAAAAATGAACTGAAATGTTGTACGTCGAAGTCGGTGATCAATTGGCTATGTAACGAGCATGGGGACAGTGTCGACAGAGGGCAAATGAGGACCGGGCAAACATATGCAGATACAGCATATAAGGTGAAGTTGCGGTCACTTATTAGTAGAGCAAAAATGGAGTTTCCAAGTATGAAAGATGTTTTGAAACCAGGTGCAGCGTAGGTAATGTGTTTGTCACAGATGAAAATGAGAGTCGCTGCACCTCAAAGAATTGTTGACCTTCTTGCGTTTGTGGTCAACGGATCCGAATACTTATTATTGGATCACCTTTTAATGATTAGGAAGACATCAAAAGGGGAAAGGAATATTATTTCGAAAGTTCTAACTCCTATAATAGATGATGTCATTGCTGGAGGAGACTTTGTCGAGTACCCCGACACTGTTCAAAGCAGCAGCATCACGGGAAGATCAAGTGATATTGTTGCATTTGATGATACTATGATGCAACTGTCGTCCTATGGAACACAAGTGGATAAGCAAAGAAAATGAAAGGAATGTTGGGATCTGCTGGCTGCGGAATGTGTCCACCAAAGATTTGACGGCCTTGACGACAAGCGACCTCGGCAAACATCCGATATCCAAACAAAGAAGGCATCGGAAGCAGGTTCGTCCTTATTGAGGATGGGAAGAGACCATTGTAGGTCTTAATTCATCGTTGCCCGTTGGGCAATGCAATCGATTCCTTCAAGTGTCCCTCAAGCTTGTCTTAGTGACGAAGACGTACTTGAACAGTGCCATGTGCAAGGTATTGATAACAATATTGCAGCCTCAAATGAGAATGTAAATGAGGATCATTGTCTCAACATTGTCGACAATTTCAATCGTCAAAATGACGATATTAACAATGATGAAGAGATTGATAACGACGAAGATGATTATGAAGATGGTGACAATGTTGGTGACGATCCTTTACCTGATAATGATAATGACGACGACGATTATGATGAAGATGATGATGATGATGATGACGATGACGATGACGATGACGATGATGACACAGATGAGGTCAATGGCGGTGATGGAAAAAAAGGGAGATCGTTGAAGAAAGGTGAACAAAAGGACAAGGGTTGGTGCATTTCGATTTTACAATTGGCACGTGAGTTTGAATACCCGCACGTCACCTTGCGTGTGGTGCATCGGGATGCAACGCCAAGTGGGTCTTTCCAGCAAGTGGCAATCTCTGCTTTGTCTTCAAGTTGCAAACATGGGAAACAATTTCGCGGTGGTGGGAAGTCTTGGTTCGTGCTTGTAAACCGTGAAGTTGCCATGGCAATGCTGTCAGGATGGAGCGACGATATTTGTGGTCTAGCGCAAGGTGCAGCGGCACAAGCTTTGGGCGCTCGTTTGCATCCCAACCTATCAACTGCAATTGATATTGTGTTCGCTGTAGCTCATCAGGGAGGACTGAAATTTCTTCCAGGAGTACAACCAAAACTGTAGGAGGAAGAGGATTATAAATCAGTCAGAGACGTGCGGGTATTCAAACTCACGCTAAGTAGAAGCCATGCAATGAAAGAAGTGTAATGATGAGCTGCGTATATAGTTAGGAAGTTCACAAGAAAACTCGTCATAGGGCCGCTTGTTTCTTGACATAATAATGACAAATGACAAAGGTTCATCTCTCTCTCTCTCTCTCTCTCTCTCTCTCTCTCTCTCTCTCTCTCTCTCTCTC